ATAAATATTGGTTACTTGCATCACAACTGTGTTTTGATGTATGAAATCAAAACTGGTTAATTCCCGAGGAGTGGACTTGATTGTCAAGCTTTCTTTTTAATTTCAGCGTTAAATAATTAATGTTTTAACAAATTTTGTCTCAAGGGATTATTATTTATTTAAGGTCAAATGTATATTAGGGGATTAACCATAATGTGCCCTTGCGATGAATAGTTATTATCCAGAACTCAGCAAATGTGGGATTTCCTTGCTAACTCCCTCGGTACAAACAAATACTACCAATCGAATGTTGTAGTTATTTTAAAAGCTGTAACTGTAAAAGTTTGTATCTCTGTATAAGCTGGAAAAAACCAAAGTTAAGTCCAGAGTAGGTCTATTTAATATTACCAATACATTTTACCTTAAAAGTTATTATTTTCTACTATGGATGTTTTATTGTTTGATAAATCAACATAATTATTGACCTCGCTAACGCTGTCACTTGTAACATCTAGGTACTAAAAACATTCATGCTGTTGCATCATGGGATAGAAGCTGTAAAAACTCAATATGATCTTAACATTTTTATATTAGTTTTTAAAAATTTCCTACATAACATGATTGTAAATTCATAAAAAGTCTTCAAATTATATATTTTAAACTATAGAATAGATTAAGTTCAAATCCTGACAGGGACTTTAGATTCTTTCGTATGAGAAAGCTATCCAGCAAGCTTTCAGAATGTTGGTGGTTCACTCAGGTGTCTGTTTGTGCTTGAAATAATACATAGAAGGGCTCCAGAGGAGTTCCTGCACCAGTAATTAAAAGCCTCAAAGTGATGACCTATTCTGTGTTGTTTGTGTGACTTAAAACTCAGACAAGCAAAAAAATCCAAAAACTATAGAATTGATATCTGAAAAAAAAAGATTTTACTGTATGTCATCAAAATTAAGACTTAACAGATATGTACAATGGTTTTTAAACATTGATAAATTAATTCATTACAAAAATCTTCAATATATTGTAAAACCTTAACAATTTAAAGGCTGGTTAAAGACATCTCAGCGTAACGTAGATAAAGGCATGTCGTTATTGTACCTCAGGGATTCATGATATATGGGTCTCGATCGATTTTACGCTGATTAATTTATAGACCTTATACTTTGTCTCATTTCTTGGTCTTTTTTTCCAGTATAGTATTTGATGAAATGAATTTGGGTAACTTCACCACACACCCTTCAGTGAAAATTGTTTGCTAAATTTATGTTTGATAAAGTTTAATTTTATATTTTTTGATAGCTTTATTGCTGATTATTTATTTTAGTTTAATTGTGTTGGAAGCTATAAGCTTATTGAAACACTCTAGAATCCGTTCCTGGAAACAACCAGTACTAAGCAATGAATGTAAAGTTTCTTGCTCAAGGAGGCATTTTTTTACTGTGAGCTCGGTTTGAACCCAGGCATCAGCAATCATTAGATTACTAGTCCGAGGCGTGCAGTCAGCAGTCATCGAATTTAACACTGGCCTGGTGGCCCATGGCCAGTGTAAATTAGTTTGGGCCAGTGTAAATTTTAAGAATTTAGTTAAATATATATAGTACAATAAATTCAAAACTGAAATTCGGCCAGTTAATTCAAAATCTTAAATTCATTGACTGGATGTGAGAATGATTCAATAATTTTAATATTTGACAGTAAGCCCATGATTTGTAAATGTTAAATGAATTATATATTTTTATATATGGTCAAATATTAATAGAAAGATTTCATATCTGTTACTTTGACCTGTAAAATCAATACTGAAAGCATTGTCAATATTTGTGATTTATTTAACATTGTTTCCATTAGACCGTATAAACACATTGTTGACTAAATGCTGAATGTGTAATTTTATTCTCTTAACCCGTTATTCGTTATTCGTAATTTACTCCTCAAAATTTGATAAAATATTCACAGGGGGTAGTGCTTTATTGCTCTTAAAGTCTCGTTAAACGGGCATAATTTACGACAATATTGCGTTAACCTCCGATCTTATAACATTGAAAAATGTGATATACGAATAATTTTTTGATATAAGTGCAGGTATTGATAACTATACGTTGATCAAATATAGGTAAAATAATAGGAAATCTTATCTTTTATTTATTTTATATACATTTTATATGATTCGATTTATTGCACACTTTGTTTCATTGTCAGCCGAGGTCTCGAAGATGTCTTTCAGGGCTTAAAGTTTGGGTGGTTACTTACACAGTAGCTAGGAATTTATTGAAGTACCTCCATTGTTGGGGGAAAATTAGAAAATAGTTTATATGTAATGAGAAATTTTTGGATGTGACAGTTCTTTAGTGGAATCATCCTTAATAATTACTATCCTGAAGTGAATTTTGAATTTGATATTATGTACAAATGAATTTTGTGCTTAATTAAGAATGGAAAGAGTGATTTTAAAGGAATGTTTTTGAAATTTTTAGTTTTTGCTGTTTATAAATTTATTTTTATATATTATTATTATTATACATGTATGTAAATGAACTTTGTGGAAACAAGGATGTTAAGGGATGTTTGCTTTCAATTTTTATTCAATTTAGCATTCTGCATAGTTTCAATGGATGTTGAATTAAGTTTTAAAAATGTGTCTAAATATGACAGACAAATTGTGGAATAATGAAAAGTGAAATAGGTAATAAAAGGGATTAGTGTAAAAATGAGTCTAGTGTAAAATATTATAAAAATTATAAATAGAAACATAATCCTGAAAGAAATTTATCAAAAGATTTGTTTGTACAAAGGCTTTTTGAATGGAATAAGTCTCAGAGTTACAAAATGTTGGAACTGAAGATCTTGTTGAAACAGCAGTAACAATTTATGAGCTGAATAGCTTTAAGCTTATGAAATAATGAACAGTTTACTATCTAGAAGTATTGAAGTTTACTTTACTATGCACATGTCTTCAGTATGTCAATGAAATGCTAGGAAAATTTGTATAAGTTTGTATAAAATTGATATATGAACAAACGTGGCATGCCTACTGCCTGTCATTCACTGTGACAATATGAATGTTGAGAAGCGCCTACAGTTGATATGTCGGCCAGAGTTTGAAGGTGTCATCCTAATCTGTGGTAAATTCTTCAAAATTTTTCAATTTTATTTCTTCTCAATTTAAGTATAATTATGTAGATATAATTTGTTTGTTGAAAATGAATGCTAAGAAGTGAGAAATATATTCAGGTACAAGTATATACAAACTTTAACCTTGATATACAGTATAACCTGTGGAGAGCAACACCTTTGGAAGACAAAGATAATTTGATTGTTGAGGGGTGATGCTGTAGAGACGTGTTGAATTTTTTTATAGTCAAAGTATTTGATACTGTTGTTGTAAAGAGTAAATTCTACTACAGTTGAGGTTGTATTTTATAATGAATAAGTCACAACAATCTGGTGATTTTTGTGCTTGTGGTTTTAAATGTAGATTTTTTTTGCTTAAATTTATTTTACCTTTAGATCAACAATAGTTTTGTTTATGTTCGTATCAAGCATATACAGTAGCTTTTGATTTTGCAAATAGCAATTGAAATTGAAACTAAAATCATTAGGTCATCTTATGAGATCATTTGACATCTTATGACATCAGCTCTAACTGCACTAGTACCAAACTCTATTATCAGCAGCAAATGCTTATAATATGAGGACAAAACTCATTATCAGCAGCAACTGCTAATAATCTGATGTGCATGTAATGGTGTCATTTTCATTTTGAAACCTACTATTATATTAGAGGCAGACCAGATCTGTTTAATCAGACTTTATTTCTAAAAATCTGTTGGTTTAACCATTGCTACCTGTAAAGAACTAAGCTAGCCCAGACTCTATACCGAAGTTGAGTGTTGGTTGCTCTATTGTCGAATTTTCATAATAAAATCCCCTAAACAGACTGTTCCAAGTTAAAATTAAAAGAAATATCATGGGTTTAGGGATAACTGTTGGCACCCCAACTTTGGTTTTCTTTGGTATTAATACCCCTTAAAATGATAAATCTGAATTTAAATCAGGTTGAGTACATTATGAACTTTAGTCTGGTAAGAATTTATGAACTACCTTTGACAGATTATAAGATACACAATCAATGTTGATACAGAAATATCGGTTCTGACGAAATCAGTCCTACTCTTTGATCTTTGCATAATAGTGACCACAATGTTCCAATATTATTGGATATAGGGGGATTATCTTTAACCCCCTTAATGATGTAGTGGATGATAACCACTAATCCAGTAGTATTTTCCCCTATGCCTTTGTATCAGACTTTGTGTTGGCATTGAGCCTGTAATAACGGAATGAGATTTTGTTTAAAATCCTTATTTGTAGTATATTAGGAACACTTTGTGACAGGTTATGAATATAGTCATTTGTACTGGAGAACAAAGGTCAGGTCCTAGATGTATGTGTGTGTACAATGTTAAGATATAACTTTTGTCATGTTTAAAGTGTTGAAATTGATATTAAAGAAATTGAACAATAGCCTAGAATTTTCAATTATGTCCCCTTAATAATGAATAGTCAGGATACAAAATGTTTGAAATTTTAATATTTTAGTTTGACAGTGAGTTAACGAAAATGGTGAATTTTTTTATTGAGAAGAAAATATCATGTTACTGACTGGTGTTTCTGTTCCTGTATGGGAATTCTTTTAAATGTTGGTATCATGCTTAGTTAGGTTGACATGATTATTCACAGAGAAATAATTTACAAAGAATAGGAAAATTGAATTGATTTATCTTTCAGTCAAGAAAAAATGATAAATTGTTACAGCTGTGAAATGAAAAAGCTGGCTCAAAAATGGAGAGAAAAAAAACTGTTTTAAAAAGAAACATTTCATTTTGTAACCCTAATGCTTTTGCTAAAATTGTGTTCAGATCCTTTGTACATTGTACATCAATTATAATTGTAGTTGTGTTACAAAGATGATATAACAATAGTCTTCAAATAATTCAATTGTATATTTCTTCAATTTTTAGTGGACCGTAACAAGATGAGGATCCGGAAGGGACGTTTAAGGCTCAGCCCCAATGAGGAGGCGGCCCTTCTTAAGGAGGAGACAGAGAAAAGACGTAAGCTCCGCCTACAGCAAGTTCGTGAACAGAGTAAAGAGAATGCCGCTAAAATTAGACATGCTGTAAAACAAGAAAAGCATAAACAGTTGATGAGACTAGCTACTGATATCAAGGTACAAAATAACCAGTATTGTTTTGTTAATTTAAAAATACTTGAAAGGGGTGATTCCAAAACAGCAAAGACAATGAAAAGCAAATAGTAAAAAGTTGCAGACTGGGTTTTATGAAGTATGTTCCTGAGAGATAGTGGGGAGTGCAACAACTCTCATGCCCCCCTAGCATTAGTTACAATGTTCCCCTCTTTGTTCATTTTGCTTCCCATTCTAAGGGAGTTATTCATGCTACATTACAGAAACAGAATAAATAGCATTCAAATAGAAATTTTCCATTTACTTATTGTTCCTATAGCCATATAGTTGAGTGGGCATTTGTAAGTTCCAGATTCATTAAAATTTGGTTGTATACCCAGAAGAAGAATATTTGAAAACACAGAAAATCATCTTTGAAAAAATGATAAAATGGACATGAACTTAAACACTTTATTACTTTGGTACTTGCTTTTAAAGTACTTTACTTACCTTTTACAGTCTTTTTAAGTGAAAGAGTTTGTATATGTTTTAACCTTTTCAATAAGAGAAGTTACCTGTGATGTTTTAAATTGTATATGATTATATATTTATAGAACCAGCTAGAAGATGAGAAAGCTGAAAGAGTTCGTCATTTAGAACAACAATATGATAACAGTCTGAGAAACATTGGCGTGGGTCATAAACAGGCAGCAGATCAGGTATTTTCACTCATTGATAGATTGTTACCATCAGGGGCCTTTGTGTCTGTTTATATTGATTGATATCTGTTTATATTGATTGATAGCATCAGGGCAGGGTTTTCAGTATTAGATTAGCGATTCATATCAACGGTGGAAATACTGTTATAATCTGGAGTATTTTCAGCTTGTAGATTAATATATCCCCTTTGACTCTTGGTCAAATTGGTTGTTTTCATTGGCACATCTGTTGCCTCAGATAAGAATGGAAATTCTGATCAGAGGTCTCGGTGGTTGTTTATTTGAGCACCATGTACATGTAGCTTGCTAAGGTTAATGGTTCTACTGCTCTACCTGCGTATTCCTGATATAATGTACCAAAGGGCACCAAAAGTCTTTTTCAGCCAGTAATTTCTTAGTTTGTAAGTCTCTTTATAACCTTTGAAGAAAAACCCTTTGTTAACTTTAAACCAGCTGAATTTGTGTAATGTATTTGCCATGCTTCGAATTCAAAAAAGTTCTAACAAAGTTAACACATTTATATTATATTACAGCCTGATTGGTCAGAGGAGAGGGAACTTATTCAGCAAGCTGAGAATCTGCGTGCAGAGGCCCGGGGACGCTCTGCTGTAGAGAAAATGAGGAAGGAGACTGAACTAAAAAATCATGAGGCTAACAAATATTTACAAGCAAGGTAAACTGTGATAATTTACTTCTTCCCATTTAAAAGTATATCCAGCTTCCTTGAAGGAAATCCTTGGTCCTAACCCAATGTTTGTTGTCTTGTTTTTGAAATAGGTCAAAAATCGATAAATGAAATTAATTATCTGTTATATTTCATCCTTGATTAATATTTCTAACTTGGACTCAACCATCTTAAGCAGTTTCCAGTTTTGAATTGATTCTATGATCCCGAAGAACAAGAAAATTTTTATAACATAAAGATAAAGCATTGGACCAATTGTGCATAAAGTTGATAGCAGATTGCCAATATGTACTCTATTGTTTAATTTATATTAACCTTTAGACTGCTGGCAGTGACTGCATCTACCCGTGCAACTAGTGCAGACCAAGATCAGCTGGCACATCCGCACAGTCTGGTACATCTTATCATGGTCTGCACTGTTTGCTATTCAGTCAGTACATATTTTGAAATCTTCCCTAAAAATGATGAATGGTTTTGACCAGATTGTAATTGGACAACTCCATTTAAGAAATTTAGTAAGGGCTCATTTCAGCTAATAATATGTTTGATATTTTACAGGAAACAAGCATTAGAGATAGAGAGATCTCGTGCTGCAGAGATAGCCTCAATGCCTCCTCCACCACCAGACCCACTGAAGGAACTCAATGTCGGAAAAACATGTATGTTTAAAAATATTTGTTTTTAACATTTATTTAAGTGAAAG